CCAGGCTCTTCTCTCTTGGCTTCAGGGAGAGTGATATGCACTGAATAGATGAAACATGCACCTATTTTGCATTAAGAAAAGGTGAAATTTCCTTTCCTTTAGAACTACAGATTCAAGTAAAGGCAAAGAGAGGGAGACAACTGGCATTTACGAACATCAGATGAGAAAAAAAGGAGGTTCAGAGAGATCCCCCGCTTGCCCAAGCTAACCATCTAACAAATGATAGAGGGTCTTCCCTGTGGTCCAGTGGTTAAGACTCTGGACTTCCACTGCAGGGGATGCAGTTTCAGTCCCTGGTCATGGAGCTAAGCATAAAATTAAAATAAAATAAATAATAAAATAAAGGACCAAGATTTGGATCACTCCAACTGTCTCTGTCCCTGATCACTTTCTTCCATAGTTTTCACCGACCTGACAGAACGAAGTTTGCTGTCATCACTTTGTGGGTGTCTTAGTTAAGATCTAACTGTAAAACTAGACTCCATTTTCTCTATGACTATTTCCTTTTTCTTTTTCTTTTAAATTATCCCTGAGTCCAAATTTCCCTCCACGTTATGTTTATAGATCACCCACTGCGTTTTTCCTTCAGAAGAAGCCAGTGGTGGGGAATAAGCAGAGTACATCCTGCCAAGTGTCTCCAAGTGAAGTTTATCAAACCTCGCATGCATACTCTTCTTTGCATCCTACCCAGATTCACATGCAGAAGATTCTATTTCCATGCTTCACTTTGGGAGGCTTCCCTGGTGGACATGGTTCTCACTGCAGGAAATCAGAACTTGGAGGGACCTTACTGCCAGTGGTCCACCTCTTCTATTTTAAAGATGATGACACTGGAGCTAAGAAACCAATCCAAGACCTCCCAGCCCTTCCCTAGATCACACAAGTTAAGAGTGGAGCCAAGAAACTCTGGGCTCCCAAATGGAGCTTCTCTGGGTGTATCCGACTGCCTTTACGTGGATCAGATATGCTGAATGGACTTGCTCCCACGAGCTCTGCTGGGATGGTGGATGCATGTGCTTAAACATGGTTAATGTCAGGAGCCACCTCCCATATGTGTATGCGTGCTAAGTCACTTCAGTCGTGTTTGACTCTGTATGACCCTACGGCTGTAGCCCACCAATCTCCTCTGTCCATGAGACTCTCCAGTCAAGAATACTGGAGTGGGTTACCATGCCCTCCTCCAGGGGAATCTTCCCAACCCAGGGATCAAACCCTTATCTCTAACGTCTCCTGCATTGCCAGGCGGGTTCTCTACCACTAGCACTCCCATATGTGGAAGAGTTCAACTTTTGAACAGATATATTATAAATATGGGCTCCCCTGGTGACTCAGATGGTAAAGAACCCTCCTGCAATGCAGGAGGCCTGGGTTTGATCCCTGGGTTGGGAAGATTCCCCTGGAGGGACCACTCCAATATTCTTGCCTGCAGAATCCCATGGACAGAGGGGCCTTGTGGGCTACGGTTAATGGGGTCACTAAGAATAGGACATGACTTAGTGACTAAACAACAACGTTAAGCACCTGCTAGGATGTTGCTAAGTGTTCCCACATGTTGTTCAGTCACTAAATTGTGCTGGTCAGTCACTCTTTGTAACCCCACGGACTGCAGCACGCCAGGCCTCCCTGTCCTTCACTATCTCCCAGAGTTTGCTCAAACTTGTGTCCGTTGAACTGAGGATGGCATCCGATCATCTCATCCTCTGTCCTCATCCCACATGAATGTTTAATAAATGTTTGCTCAATCTGATCTAGACAGTTACCCCCAACAAGCAGGCCCTTTGGTTTCAGACCTGAAAATATTACAAATGATTGAAGAACACTCTGATCCCTTGAGAAATTATTCTGGAATCATCTCCACTTTCACATGCATCCTAAAGAATAGAGGGAAATGTTTGTCGTTTTACAAAAACTGTCACTTTCTGCTTGATGGTGACCAGGCCCAAAGGCTGACCACCCTGAATACAAACGTCATACATCTTCTAGGTAGCTACTGCCCTCTAGTGTCCTGTGAAAATAGCAAAAAGTATACTTTGTGGGTGTGTTCAGTGACCCCATTGACTGTAGCCCTCCAGGCTCCTCTGTCCATGGAATTTTCCAGGCAAGAATACTGGAGTGGGTTGCCATTTCCTTCTCCAGGGGATCTTCCCAACCCAGGGATCAAACCCAGGTCTCCTGCATTGCAGGTAGATTCTTTACCTTCTGAGCCACCAGGGATAGTTGTATATGTATATACATATGCATATATGTATGTATATGTATATACATATGCATATATGTATGTATATGTATGTATATATATGTATGTATATACATATGTATATGTATATCTGAGTCCATTTGCTGGTCACCTGAAACTATCACAACATTTTTTATTGGCTATACCCCAACAACAAACAAAAAGGTTCTTTTTTAAGTAATTCTTTGTGAGATAGTTCAAAGTCAAATTTTCCTGAAAGGCTATTTTTGTTGGCCTTTTGTGCATATCCTATTGAAGTCACACACTCTGATTTAGATTTAGAGAAATCTATATTGCTGAGATTATATATTGCAGGTGTAATATTCATTGGAAGGACTGATACTGAAGCTGAAGCTCCAATACTTTGGCCACCTGATGCAAAGAGCCAAGTCATTGGAAAAGACCCTGATGCTGGGAGTGACTGAGGTCAGGAGGAGAAGGGGGTGACAGAGGATGAGATGGTTGGATGGCATCATCAACTCAATGGACATGAGATTGAGCAAACTCCAGGAGATGGTGAAGGACAGGGAAGCCTGATGTGCTGCAGTCCCTGGGGTTGCAAAGAGTCAGACATGACTGAGTGTAGGTGAGAGGTGAACAGGATAGCAGGTTTCGAATAGCTTGCTTTGCTGAGTGACGGTCATGGAATTAAACAGACCTCCCTATCTAGCCAAATGACCAAATGTGGGGTAGGGGGTATCTCCTGAAAGAACTTTAATTTCCAGAGGAGTACATATTTATGGTTCCTGAAATTTGAAGACATTTGAAGCCAGTGGGGCCAGAAGTGAACGGATAGCCAAGCATGTCCTTTCAGGTGACTATGGTGAAGAGTCCTCACTCTCCAGCTCACGGCTTGAACCTCCCGGAGTATGTTACTACCGTCCTGCTGAGCACATCCCCTGCTCATCCTGTAATTAGCGACTCTATAGCACCATTTAATTCTCCATTTACTTTTGTGGATAGCGCTAGTCTTTGTTTCAGCTCATCATCAATCTTTTTGGAAACTTCAGTGCTGTCACAAAAGCTATGCATATAAATCTCCCCACCATGCTTCTGCAAATTAAATAAAATGTGTTTCAAGCTTGCCTCAAATGCAAAGACTTCATGTGATTTATTTCCACACAATTCTTAGGGCTATGCGCAAGCATGAATCAGCGACCCCCAAAAGCCCAAACTTTGACCGTGGGGACAATCACTTAGAGGTGGCAGCCTTGTAGAGTGTGGGACACTTGGAACCATTCTGTAAATATGTGTTGGATGAGGTCTAAGTGGAGGAATTCTTCATATCAATCTTTCTCTTTTCATAAGAAATCTCTTCGCCTTTTTCTAGAGAGATTTCCGTGCCAAGTTCAGGTTGACTGTTGCTGATCAGGTTCATATCTAGCCATAGCTTCATTGACACCCTTCAGTTACTAATGCACTACCCCCAGTTGATTGTCCCTGAACTTGAGGACGATGGTAATCATTTTTTCCTGGCTTCTAGTTTTGTGAGTTTCTTTTTGATTTGGGCAAGTTTTAAATGATCAATGCAATAGAACTTCTCCAACAAATCAAATTGGCAGATTGTTGATGCTGCTCAAAGTATGATCCAAGGACTGAGGCCATCCACACCTCCTGGGAGTTGGTTAAAAATGCAGATTCTCAGATCCCACCCCAGATGGTGTGGGGCCCAGCAGTGTGAGTTTTAACCACGACCCCCCCACCGCCCCCAGGTGTTTCTGATACATGCTAAGATTTAAGAAGCATTATCCACCTCTCCTTTCTCCTTTTCTCCCTTAGTGCCAAGATCTTCAATTTGGAGGACAGGTGGCAATATTCCCAGGTAAATGTGGCATTTCCCAACCTCCCCTGCAACAAAGGGATGTCCATGATATAGTTGTGGAAGTAACCAGAAGGGGCATCCAGGAGAGCAGGTCCAAGAAAGGCTGCCTCAGCTGGAAAGTGTAGCCCCTTTGCCTACTGCCTTTCCTTCTGCTTCCCAGTGAATTGTGGATGTGAGGGCTGGTGCTCCAACAGCCATCTCAGTCAATGAGGCAGCCTTGCTGATGGAAACAGCACTGAAAGCTGAGCAGCTAAAAGGCAGAAGTCTGCTCCCAATAGTCAGATTACAAAGCAGCCACACTGGCCATGGCTTTCAGTTCTGCATCCCCAGATCTGAGTGTGGAGACTGGCACACAGTAGGGACTCAGTAAGGATTTGTTCAATAAACAAAGTGAATGACTGAATGCATGCTTGCTCGGTCATTCAGTCATGTCCAATTCTTTGCAACCCCATGGACTATAGCCTGCCAGTCTCCTCTTTCCATGGAATTTTCCAGGCAAGAATACTGGCTTGGGTTGCCATTTCCTTCTCCAGGCGATCTTACCAACCCAGGGTTGGATCCTGTGTGTCCACGAATACATACTAAACCCTTTCATGTTTATACTGGTCCTTCCACTTATTCTAGGTAGAGCAATCAAGTGGATTTTCAGTGAATGGTCCCAGGTTAAGTGTTGGTCATATTTTCCCATTCCTTGAAGACTATGGGAGACTCTGTAATAAAATATCAGTGAGCAATTAGTCCAGAACTAGACCAACTTGGAACCTACCTGGAACCCACTCCAAGCACTACATGTCACCTTGGTTACATCATTTAACCTCTCAAGGTCACCATATGCAACATAAGAAGGCAATGATTGTCAGCATGCTGTCAGCACATCCAATCAATCAAAGATTCCAGAAGAGACTTCAAAGTCTAGAAATAATCTCTAGTCTCAGTTCCTGAAGGTTTGTTTACAATTACTTTTATTATTATTTTTAATGAACTAATACAAGGTGCCAGGAAACCCTGGGAAAGGGGTTATTTATTACATGACCTCAGGGTCGTGTGCTATAAACGTCACAAGTAGGCACACCCCTTTCACTATTTATTTCCAGTAAAACAAAAGATCGAGAAATCAGCATCACGAGATGACATAATATAGCTGAGACCATTAAAAGCATCGCCTCCCAAACTGGGCATCATAAAATACATCACGAACTGTGAATAGATTTGCTCAATGAGGGACAGCCTCATCCTTCTGATTCTCCAAGAATGCCATAGGGAGTTTCTCAGGGCAGAATGTGAAATGAAAAAGAAGCGCCTGGCCAGGAATGCTGTACGTTATCCCCCAATGACCTGCCAAAGGGACTATTTTTAAAGACGCATTTATCTCAGCAGGAGTGACAGCATTTAAGAAGTGGCCAGGTCCCAGTGCCAGATAATCTTTCATGGGAAAAGGCTGCAGAGAATGACTGTACCTTTACAAAGGCCTGCGTGATGGATGGGATGGGCATTGCCCTTGGTTGGCTAGACGGTTGGTGTACGGAGCCATGAGGATAATGCAGAATTGAGAACTTGGGAATCAAATGGAGTTTACCCCAAATCATCGCAGCCATCCCAACGCTCAAAAATGAATCGGGCTTTAGATTTACAAGATCCATCCTAACTAGAAATGCAGGCTTTTGCTGCCTTATAAATTTCTTAAGCAGTAACTGTTCATCAAATTATAGTATCCCACTGAAAAAATCATGTTATAAGGATGTAGTAATCCCAGTTTACACCGTTCTCTTTTATGAACCAAGCCAGCGTATTTTGTATCACAAGCAAGTATATTACAACTATGTTACATTGATCCTCTCATTATTGATGTAGCATTGATGTTAGGTAACTCCTGTAACGAACTGAGAGAAACACTAATACACAATGTTACATTTACACATTTGGGGGAGTCAGGATATCAAACCAGAGTTGATGCCTCTTTCTTCCCTGAACAGAGAAAAAATGGTGATTCAATTATCAGTGGGCAAGAGAGCAAAGAAAACCTTTTAATTATTAAAACTGATCTCAGATCCAGGATAGAGAGGTGCCAGGAATATACTTTTTCTCCTCTCCACCTTCTACTCCAGAGAATAACCAAAGGATGGCTGGAAGCTATCACAGGACCTAAGTGTTTCTCCAAAACAGAAAATAAACTCAACACAGCCATCTCTATTCTTCTTTAAATTTTTGAGGTTTCTGGTAGTGAAAGCCTGGCACTTTATAGAATTGAAATCATCACAAATCAAAGGACTGGTTCTTGAGGACTGAGGTCCATTTGGCCTCAGGGTTCATCTCCAGGGACCCAGGGCTTATAGCTCACAGTCCCTTCCATGCAAGACAGTTCTGATGGGTGAAATGGTTGTTCTTTTTCAATGGATTCAAGACTTCAATCTATTACCAACCTTTGCCAAAGCAGTTTGTCCTGAGCTCCTCACCCCACCCCCACCCCACCCCCATTCACATTTCATACTAGATCTCAGGAAAATGTTCCTTGTGAGGACTGAAGAAAAACATATATGACAAGCCCTGCACTCCCTAACCTCCATGCCAATGTCTGCGTAAAAAAGAAGCAGAACCGAGATGCACAGAGGAGATTTTTCATGGGCTCTGACCATTGTAATAAACACAGATCGTGTTTCACTGCCAAGTTCACACTCTGAAGGCCTGCAGCTGCATTTCCCCACCCCTCCCTCCACCCCCAACGCTGTCCACCGCGTCTTATTCTTGCCTACAAAGAAGATGGCAGAAGCCACAGAACACTTCCCATGTCGCTTCCAGGTGAGCAGGCACATCAAATGCTAGGATGGATAATGGTGAGCTTGCGTTTAACCAGCGGTCTGTGTGAGAGAGGAAATAACTTCTCCCTCACAAGAAGAAAAGAGCCTGAATGAAATGAACAGTGCAACGTGAGTTCGTGAAGTGCATCCTCCTGCCAGCAAGTTAAATGGCTATAAGAAGTTGTGCTTCCACTTCACTCCATCAGCCCCAATTTCCTGGGACCTCAAACACCAACTCCTCTCCAAATATGGCTAAATGCTGGCAAATACTTGCAGACACCATTTCTGCAAATGAAACCCAAAGACAATTATGTACAAAGTTAGTTTACAGAATGCCTATCCCCTTAAGTGTTTTTGACTCAAAATAGGAATAAATATTATTCTTCAATTTACCCCCTAATCATCATGGAAAACTTAGGACTCTTGGAGGGGGTAACATAGATTTCTACAGATATTGCTCAAATATTTGGTTTCCTATATCAGAGTATCTTCAATTCTATTGTGCCAATTTTCAAATGGAATCTATGAGGAGTGACACTTTAACTGCAAAAATATATGTATCGTATGTACTTCAGTATTCAGATGATGACTCAACTTCCCCGCCAAGTCAATTTGTTAAGTCCTTGGGCTCCGAGGAACTTTACGGAGGAACTTGCGTGTTTCTCAAGTTCATTTTGAAATGCAAGAAAGTCCTTGTACCTCACTTGCAGAAATACACACCCCTCGCTTAGTCTGTCCTCCCACTCGAGGGTATTCTCCCCCTTGGGCTGGGGACACTAGAAGCCAAGCATGGAGTTCTGGGATTCTACGGGAGGACAGCTCAGGAAACCCCTGAATCAGTCACCTGAGTTACAAACATATAGACAGCTGAAATGGGTGCTAAACTAGGGGTCACAAATTCAACTTTTCCTCCTGCGCTATCCAGGTGTCCGCTGGACAGTGACAAACAGGAAGTGTGGGCACAGTTGAGGTTCCCAGACGAGGTTTTTCCAACATTTCCTTTCCCCAGTAGATGGTTCACATCAGGACCTGTTCTCGAGTCTCTGGCAGTCGAAGAGCAATCAGGCCACCCCCAACAAGAGAAGTGGCCGCCAGAAGGATGGGGACCACTTTGGTGATCCCAACGAAAGAAGCGAAGATGGTGTTTCCCAGGATGGCGCCAAATTTGCATAATCCATTGAGGATGCCAAAGGCTGTTGCCCTATAAAAGAAGGAGAAAGTAAACCATTCTGGAGGATACAAACTAGACCTCCTTAGGTGTACGGGACTGGGTTCTTCTCTTTCCCTGGTGAAGGAAGTAGAGAGCAGCCTGGATGGGAGGGGAGTTGGGGGAGAATGGATATACGTACAAGTACCGCTGAGTCCCTTCTCTGTTCACCTGAATCTACAACATTGTTTTCTAATCAGCACATTGTTTTCTACCTCAACACAAAATAAAAAGGTTTTTTTTTTTTAAATAAAAACCCTGTTGGAGTGGATCCCTCAAGCAAATAATAATAATAATAATAAAGAAGTATAGTGAAGGTGTGGGAGAGAATTTTTTCCCTAAATATCAAAGTAACACATTCTTATTTTAGTCTAATTTGGAAATACAGAATAACATAAAGATGCAAGAATTTGTAACTTCACCACTGAAAGGAATCATCATAATTAACATTTTGGGGTATTTCCTTCCAACTCGAGTTGTTCACAGGTTTCCCAAGTGGCGCTAGTGGTAAAGAACACACCTGTCAATGCAGGAGACAAGAGACGCAGGTTTGATCTCTGGATCAGGACCATCCCCTGGAGAAGGGCACAGAAACCCACTCCAGTGTCCCTGCCTGGAGAATCCCATGGNCCCCTGGAGAAGGGCACAGAAACCCACTCCAGTGTCCCTGCCTGGAGAATCCCATGGACAGAGGAGCCTGGCAAGCCACAGTCCATGGTCACAAAGAGTCAAACATGACTGAAGCAACTTAGTACGCACACCTGAGTACTGTGACATGATGCAGAAAGTGTAAGTGCTCCCCATCAATAACTCCTTTACCTTCTTGTGACGAAGACAGTTCTGCCTGAATAGCAGGTCTCCAGATAGAAAACTATATTTCCCAGACTCCCGTGCTTCTGAGCTTGGCCATGTGACTAAGCTCAAGCCAATGGGATATAAGCACAAGTGGCAGTTCCTGAGAAACTTCTTTAAGAGCTGTCAAGAGTTGCCTTTTCCTACTACATAGCACAGGGAACTCTACTCCATGTCATGTGGCAGTCTCGATGGGAGGGGCATTTGGGGAGAATGGATACATGAATGGCTGAATCCCCTTGCTATTCACTTGAAACCATCACTGCATTGTTAATTGGCTATGTGCTGTGTGCTTAGTCACTCAGTCATGTCCAACGCTTTGCAACCTCATGATCTGTAGCCTGCTAGGCTCCTCTGTCCATGGGATTCTCCAGGCAAGAATACTAGAGTGGGTTTCCATGCCCTCCTCCAGGGGATCTTTCCAACCCAGGGATCAAACCCAGATCTCCTGCATTGCAGGCAGTCTCTTTATTGACTGAGCCTCCAGGGAAGCCCAAGAATACTGGAGTGGGTATTCTCCAATATAAAATAAAAAGGTTTGCTTCATTTTGTTTTAAAGAGTCCTTTTTCCTTGCATCCTGCTTCCTGGAATGTAGATGGTCTCATTGTGGACCATGACTGAGGTCACAAAAGAGGAAGAACAAGATAAAAAGAGTTTGCAGTTCCTATCTTCCTACGTCTGCAGTTATTAATATTTGGAGTCTCTCACTCATGGCAGAATCTAATCCCAATTGGTATTAACCACACTTCCCAGTGATAACTACTGTTAACCATCGATCGACTTCTGACTCCATTTATGTACAGAGACAATATTCTAAGCACGACTGGAACTTTTCAGGAAAGAATACTGGACTGGGTTGCTGTTTCCTTCTCCAGGGGATCTTCCAGACCCAGGGAGCAAACCCTAAACTCATGTGTCTCCTGAATTGGTTGTTGTCGTCCTTCAGTCACTCAGTCATGTCTGACTCTTTGCAACTTCATGAACTGCAGCACGCCAGGCTTCCCTGTCCTTCACTACCTACTGGAGCTTACTCAAATTCATGCCCATTGATGATGCCATCCAACCATCTCATCCTCTCTTGTCCCCTCTCCTAGTGCCTTCAATCTTTCCCAGCATCAGGGTCTTTACCAATGAGTTGGCTCTCTACATCAGATGGCCAAAGTACTGAAGCTTCAGTTTCAGCATCAGTCCTTCCAATGAATATTCAGGGTTAATTTCCTTTAGGATCAACTAGTTTGATCCCCTTGCTGTCCAAAAGACTCTCAAGAGTCTTCTCCAGCACCACAGTTCAAAAACATCAGTTGACGCTTCAGTGCTCGGCCTTCATTATGGTCCAATTCTCACATCCATACATGACTACTGGAAAACCATAGCTTTGACTATACAGACCTTTGTCAGCAAAGTAATGTCTCTGCTTTTCATTATACTGTCTAGGTTTGTCATAGCTTTCCTTCCAAGCCACTGAGCCATCTTAGAAGCCCATGTTCTGAGCACTAGTCCTCCCCAAATTAAGTAAAACTGTCTCTATTTCATATCACAAGTTTATGAAGAATATATATTTTTGTACTTTAAATTAGTTTTAAAATTTTTCTATAACTATATCACACTTTATCCATTTTTGCCAACCCCAACTCCAGTCTTTTTGTTTTCAGAATTTTTTGGATATTTTCATATGTGTATTTCTCCAAATAAACTTAACAGTCATTTTTTTTCGAGTTTCCCAGGGTGGGAAAAAAAACCTCATGGAATTGTGAATGGATTCTTCAAAAGCTAAAGAATACTTAACATTTTTGTAAGATTAAATCTTCTTAGAATTCAGTAAGATACATCTTGACACATATTTAAGTCTTATTTTATATCTCTTGTGGGACTTCCCTGGTGGCTCAGACTGTAAAGCATCTGCCTACAATGCAGGAGACCCAGGTTCGATCCCTGGGTTGGGAAGATCCCCTGGAGAAGGAAATGGCAACCCACTCCAGTATGCTTGCCTGGAGAATCCCATGGATGGAGGAACCTGATAGGCTACAGTCCATGGGTTTGCATACAGTTGGACACAACTGAGCGACTTCACTTCACTTCACTTTATATCTCTCAATAAAGTTTTATGATTTCTTCACATAGTTTTTCAGTTTTCTCATCAAATTGATTCTGAAATATTTTATGATTCCCTCCATTATTAAATGAATTTCATTTTTTTTAATATTTGATCTTTTTTAAGATCTATAAATTCTTATGTTAGTTTTATTAGTGACCACCTCACCATATTATTTTATTGTTTCTATTAGTCTCTTTGTTTAATTCCCTTAGGTTCCCTGGATTTAAAATCACATATTTAAAATAAAGATAACTTTCAACCACTTATTTTTTGTAGTAGAAGTTCTTTGATTAACAGGACAGGTTTTGAACACAGTATTTTGTGCTTTTCCCTAGCTACCTGTAATTCAATACCTCTGTCATCAATCTTGGGAATATCATTATTTCTGCAGAATTGCATTTACTAGCCTTCCACACCTTCCCTTGTGGTTCAGCTGGTAAAGAATCTGCCTGCAATGTGGGAGACCTGGGTTCTATCCCTGGGTTGGGAAGATGCCCTGGAGAAGGAAATGGCAACCCACTCCAGTACTCTAGCCTGGAGAATTCCATGTACAGAGGAGTGGGACAGGCTTCAGTCCATGGAATCACAAAGACTTGGACACGACTGTGCAACTAACTTTCACTTTTTTCCACACCACTTCACATTCATTTCTGGCCTAAGAGCTACTCACCTGCTGTCCTGAAAAATCCCCCCTCCACATACTATGAATCCATTTAAAACACTGAGAAAGTAACATGGAACAATCTCCAAAATATATGCCTATGAGAATGAAACATGGCATAGAATGGTATAACATAGCATGTTCTCATCTTGGTTTAAAAGGGGGGATGGTAACATACACATAAAACACACAAACACATATACATATAAACACATACACATATGCATTCCTCTTTATGCAAAGAGTATTTCTAACAAATACACGAGAAACTGGCAGTAGCTGCTGATTCTGAGAGGGGAGCTTATGGTAGAAGAAAATTGAACTTTTCATTGTAAATCATTTTTTTCACTGATGTTACACTGTCTGTAACTTTTTTATTAAATAAAGAAAAAATCCACAGAAGAAAAAAATTCCCCCTTCATGAGAAGAAATTACCTGCTAAACAATGGGCCTTGACCCTATGCCTTTAAACCAGACCTCTTCCTATAGAGGTCTGGTTTAAAAGATGCTTACTCCTTGGCAGGAAAGTTGTGACCAACGTAGACAGCATATTAAAAAGCAGAGACATTACTTTGCCAACAAAGGTCCATCTAGTCAAGACTATGGTTTTTCCCAGTTGTCATGTATGGATGTGAGAGTTGGATGGTGAAGAAAGCTGACTGCCGAAGAATTGATGTTTTGAACTGTGGTGTTGGAGAAGACTCTTGAGAGTCCCTTGGACTTCAAGGAGATCCAACCAGTCCATCCTAAAGGAGATCAGTCCTGGGTGTTCATTGGAGGGCCTGATGCTGAAGCTGAAACTCCGATACTTTGGCCACCTCATGTGAAGAGCTGACTCGTTTGAAAAGACCCTGATGCTGGGAAAGATTGAGGGCAGGAGGAGAAGGGGATGACAGAGGATGAGATGGCTGGATGGCATCACCGACTCAATGGACATGAGTTTGGGTAAACTCCGGGAGTTCGTGATGGACAGGGAGGCCTGGTGTGCTGCGTTCATGGGGTCGCAAAGAGTCAGACACAACTGAGTGACTGAACTGAACTGAACTTCATAAAGAGTGTGCATGAAAGGAAATAAACCCTGGGCATTCCTGCCACATTCTCTGTAAATGCCCTAACCATCCTGTCTCATGCCACCTTTATTCTGCTCCACCCTTTGTCTGTCTAGCTCTTCCCCTTTCTCCTTCATTTCCCACTGGCATGTCTGTTCTCACCTCCGTTTGGGTGGCACATACATAGGTTTGAGCCTAGCTCCTCTCTCCTGAACAAGGTTTCCCCTTGTCCTTTGCATCTTGCCATCTAACCCACTCTATCAAGCCTTAGCCTTCCCAAACCCAGGCCTATGCCAGCCTCTGGATGAGACAAACTCAACACCCTAAGAGACATTTGGTCCATCAAACCCCAAGAAGACCAAGATGGCCCCCCTGGAGCAGGCTGACTCCTGGCCAAAGGAGCCCAAGCAAGTCCCATAGGGAAGCGCAGAGAGGAGCTGACCTCTGGTTGGTGGGATACAGCTCCACTGTGATCACATCCAGCGCGTTCCAGGCAGCAATGCTGGTCCCGCAGAACAGGCACTGCCAGCCGATCATTGCAGACTCGCTGTTGCCGAAAAACAGGAAGAAGCAGCAGACGGCCGAGATGAGCATGGAGCCACCTGCCCAGGGAGATCAGAGCAGAAAGAAACATGAAACCCATGCCAGACAACACCTGCGAGAGCAGGTTCATCTCCACACAAAGAGAACACAGCTTGGACCCCCACATGGCACCCCAGCCATGGAATTAGAGACTTCTGCATGGGTCACCAGAATGAGCCCCCAGGAGGGATTTTGAAATTCTCCCTCCCTGGTACTGTCCAGCCCAGAGTAAACGAAGACAAGGCAGAGAGGGTGGATATTAGTTAAGAAACTATTATATGCCAGACTCATCAGTGTCAGAAGATTCCATTCTTGGAACTTCCCCGATGGCTCAGTGGTAACAAATCCGCCTGCCAATGCAGGAGGCACGGATTCAATCCCTGATCCCAGGAAGCTCCCACAGGCCACAGGGCAAATGAGCCCCTGTGCCAGATCCCCCAGGAGCCACAAATATTGAAGCCTGTCGCCCTCAAGCCCATGCTCCGCAACAAGAGAGGAGCTCCCCCTCACCACAACTACAGACAGGCTGGCGCAGCAACGAAGACCCAGCGCAGCCAAAAATAAATAAATACTTGAAAACTTTTTTTTTTAATTTTTTAAACCCAGGACTCCCACATTGCAGGCAGATTCTTTACCAACTGAGCCACCAGTGTAAGCGAAAGTCGCTCAGTCTTGTCCGACTCTTTGCAACCCCATGGACTGTCCATGGAATTCTCCAGGCCAGAATACTGGAGTGGGTAGCCTTTGCCTTTCTCCAAGGGATTTTCCCAACCCAGCCACCAGGGAAGCCCTTTAATTTTTAATTGAAGGATAATTACTTTACAGTTTAGTGACAGTTTCTGTCATACATCAACATGAATCAGCCACAGGCATACATATGTCCTCTCCCTCGTAAACCTCACCCCCCAACTTCTCTCCCCAGCCCACTCCTCCAGGTTGTCACAGAGCATAGGCAATACTTTTTTTTTTAAGACTCCATTCTGATGGAGCTCAAGTTCCACTGAGAACACAGCTGGACACGAGCTACAGAAGAACACTTGATCAAGAGCCCTGCTGCTGCTCATTCTTATGTATTCCATCTACATCCCGGATATCTAAGCTACCTTCCTCAGCCCTGCTCTGTGCCCCAGCAAGCTAACCCCTGTGGACGGCATGCCTGGGGCTGGCTCCCTTGTCAGTTGCAAAGGGAAAGGGCTCAGGGTATTTCATGCCAGTTCCCAGCCTGCTTTATAAGCCCTTTTTGGGGCAAATGCTACATCCCTCCAGGACTATAGTTTCTCNCTCATTCTTGTGTATTCCATCTACATCCCGGATATCTAAGCTACCTTCCTCAGCCCTGCTCTGTGCCCCAGCAAGCTAACCCCTGTGGACGGCATGCCTGGGGCTGGCTCCCTTGTCAGTTGCAAAGGGAAAGGGCTCAGGGTATTTCATGCCAGTTCCCAGCCTGCTTTATAAGCCCTTTTTGGGGCAAATGCTACATCCCTCCAGGACTATAGTTTCTCCTGGATGCCTCCTCCTCCTTGGTTCTAGCTCTCCCTGGGTTCAGCTACTGCTGTTTTCTCCCTCTGTCCCTGGAGATAGAGCCTGCTGCCCACTGTCACTAGTGTCTGAGTGTCTCATCAACCTCATCTATTCCCATAACCCTGCCCACACGTGTAAATGCTGCTCCATCGTACAGTCTTCACCAGAACTATCTTGGGTGAATTCCTTTCCTCACCAGGACTCTGGGTGATACAGTTAATGATAAGAGATCCCCTTGAAAGAAGGCTATGTCGCATCCTACTCAAATTCAATACATCCAGCCCAGAAGAGCTCGGGAAGTCTTGAGTGGGTACAGAGCAGAGATCAAGAGTATGTCTGGAAATGTGGTGGGAATAGTTGGCAGAAAGGAAGGAAAGAAGCAGGTCCCAACCAACCAGCTGGGAAACAGAGAGGAGTCCCCAGCAGTGGTCAGGAGCCTGGAGGGGGTCTTCAGGTTGCCAAGGAGCCAAAAGGCTGTTCTGGGCCCCCCCGCAAGTGCCTCCCTGGGTTGGGGGGGGGGGCGCCTCTATCTGGAGCCTCGTCATCAGACCCAGAGCCGCTGAGATTCATGCCAAACCCTGCTGATGAGCTGGGGGATGGGAACTGTCCACCTGCATTCTGCTGATTCTGGGGAGGGATAGGGTTGTGACTAGGTAGCATGCTAACGTCTTTCCAACAGTGAGGAGAGAGCTAGAATGGGAGGAGACTGCTATCTACTGGACCACAAGTGCCCTGAGAACTGTATCATCAACATGTATACATCAAAGTGGCCAGCCATGGGCTTTGATGTACAATGTTTATTGAAAACAAAATATTATCATCAAAGAAATCAAGTGATAGGGAACCATTGTTGTTGTTCAGTTGCTAAGTCATATCTGACTCTTTGAGACCCCCCACCCCACCCCATCGCTGGATTGTAGCCTGTCAGGTTCTTCTGTCGTCCACTATCTCCTGGAGCTGGCTCAAACTCATGTCCATTGAGTCGGTGATGCCATCCAACCATCTCATCCTCTGTCCCCCTCTTCTCCTCCTGCCCTCGATCTTTCTCAGCATCAGGGTCTTTTCCAGTGAGCTGGCTCTTCCCATCAGGTGGCTAAAGTACTGAAGTTTCAGTTTCAGCAACAGTCCTTCCAATGAATATTCAGGGATAATTTCCCTTAGGATTGATTACGTTGAGTCAATATAGAGCCACTATAGATCCCTCTGGTCCCCACATCTTCCACTCTCATCATTAGTTCTTATTCCCCTTGTGATGGAGAGGCCTGGGGTCAACCCCAGCTGCCCCTGTGTGACCTTGAGTAGACACTTAACCTCCCTGAGCTGCCTCACTTTCCCCATCACAGGTGAAGGTTAAATATATTAATATTTACAAAATGCCTGGAACAAAATCTGACCTCTAATAAGCACTTCCTAAGTGTTGGTTGAATGAAATTTCTAGTTTATGTCTGTCTCTCCAATAGATCATTTGTTCCTTAAACACAAGGATGCTGTCTGTCTCAATTAGCGTCGTATTCCCATTGCTGACCACACAGGCTGGTGGAGAACTGTCCTGGACAAATTAATGTTTATTAAATTGAATAAATGAGGACTAACAGGCTCATCAGGAAAGATTTCTTCTCTGCTGTTAACAAGGCACAATTCTGGCCAGAAGAGGGCACAGTGGCAGAGTAAGGAGGATAATTGATGCTCCAGCAGACTTGACTGGGGGGTTGTCTGAGGGTCATGGGAAAGGCAATGTCAAAACAGGTCACTCACATCACATTGAGACATTAATTGAGCACCTGGCAGTTACTGGGCCCTGAGAATATAGCAGTTGATACACTGTATGCCAGGCCTTTTTCTAAAGATACAAAAAGGATACTATATGAGCTTTTAACAATCTTGCTCAGAAATGAAATAGACATTAGTAAAAGATCAAAATATAAAGATAAAGGTCCATATAGTCAAAGGTATGGTTTTTGCTAGACATGTATGGATGTGAGAGTTGGACTATAAGGAAGGCTGAGCGCCAAAGAATTGAAGCTTTTGAACTGCAGTGCTGGAGAAGACTCTGGAGAGTCCCTTGGACAGCAAGAGGATCGAACCAGTCAATCCTAAAGAAAATCAGTCCGGAATACTCATTGGAAGGACTCATGCTGAAGCTGAAGCTCCAAAACTTTGGCCACCTGATGCAAAGAACTGACTCATTGGAAAAGACCCCAACACTGGGAAAGATTGAAGGAGGGAGGAGAAGGGGGCAACAGAGGATGAGATGGTTGGATGGCATCACTGACTCAATGGACGAGTTTGAGCAAATTTCAGGAGATAGTAAAGGACAGGGAAGCCTGAAATGCTGCCATCCATGGGATCACAAAGAGTTGGACACAACTGAGTGGCTGAACAACACATGAAGAATGATGAACAGTAAATATTAGTTGCAGATACCCAGTTTGGGGAGTATGACAAGTTAGCACTGGAGAAATCTACTTTCATCTGGGATACACTCATGATGACAAGCAGAGACTCGGTGGTGAAGGAAAGGATGAGCTCTCTCGCTGCCCTGCCTGCTCCCTGCGCTCAGCTCCCCCTGCGCCCTTGGTTGAGGGGTGTGGTCCGTTCTTGCTCACAGGGGCACCCCCCACCCTCTCTTCATCCACCCTCATCTCCCAAGAACTCTTTCAGCTACTCCAGGAGCTGACACAGAATTCACTATTCAAGCCTAGGACTTAAAAGGCCTGTGATAGGAACTTACTTCCTGGGGACTGCCCCGGCGGTGCAGTGGCTAAGAATCCACCTGCCAACGCAGTGGACATGGGGTCGTCCTTGGTGCAATAAGATCCCACATGCCTCAGGGCAACTAAACTTTTGCATCACAACTGTGGAGCCTTCAGGTCCTAGAGACCACGGTCTGCAACAGGAGAAGCCACTGCAATGAGAAGCCCATGCACACAGCTAGGGAGTAGCCCCTGCTCGCCAAAACTAGAGCAAGCCCGCATGCAGCAACAAAACCCAGCAGCGCCAAAAATAAAATTAAAAAGAAATAAATTTTTAAATTAAGAAAAATATTACTTACCTGAAGTTATTATATACAAGAATGGATAAACAAGGTCCTACTGTATAGGACAGGGAACTACATTCAATACCTTATGATAGAGCTTCCTTGGTGACTCAGTGGTAAAGAATCTGCCTGTCGATGCAGGAGACTCCGAATCGATCATTGGTCTAGAAAGATCCCCAAAACCATGGAGCAACTAAGCCCATGTGCCACAACTATTGAGCCTGTGCTCTAAACTCCGGGAGATGCAACGCCTGAGCCCACGTGCCACAACTACTGAAGCCCATGCATCCTAGAGCCCGTGCTCTGCAACAAGAGAAGCCACTGCAATGAGAAGCCTGCACACCGCAACGAGAGAGTAGACCCCAGGCACCATTGCTTTGTGGGCAGCAACGAAGGCCCAGTGCAACCAAAAATAAATAAAGAAATCATTAAAAAAAGAAAAGAAGGAGGAATCAATCTGCCTGACTTCAGACTCTACTAAAAAGCCACAGTCATCAAAACAGTATGGTACTGGCACAAAGACAGAAATATAGATCAATGGAACAGAATAGAAAGCCCAGAGATAAGTCCACGAACCTATGGTCACCTTATCTTCGACAAAGGAGGCAAGGATATACAATGGAAAAAAGANAAAAAAAAAAAAAAAAAAAAAAAAAAAAAAAAAAAAAAAAAAAAAAAAAAAAAAAAAAAAAAAAAAAAAAAAAAAAAAAAAAAAAAAAAAAAAAAAAAAAAAAAAAAAAAAAAAAAAAAAAAAAAAAAAAAAAAAAAAAAAAAAAAAAAAAAAAAAAAAAAAAAAAAAAAAAAAAAAAAAAAAAAAAAAAAAAAAAAAAAAAAAAAAAAAAAAAAAAAAAAAAAAAAAAAAAAAAAAAAAAAAAAAAAAAAAAAAAAAAAAAAAAAAAAAAAAAAAAAAAAAAAAAAAAAAAAAAAAAAAAAAAAAAAAAAAAAAAAAAAAAAAAAAAAAAAAAAAAAAAAAAAAAAAAAAAAAAAAAAAAAAAAAAAAAAAAAAAAAAAAAAAAAAAAAAAAAAAAAAAAAAAAAAAAAAAAAAAAAAAAAAAAAAAAAAAAAAAAAAAAAAAAAAAAAAAAAAAAAAAAAAAAAAAAAAAAAAAAAAAAAAAAAAAAAAAAAAAAAAAAAAAAAAAAAAAAAAAAAAAAAAAAAAAAAAAAAAAAAAAAAAAAAAAAAAAAAAAAAAAAAAAAAAAAAAAAAAAAAAAAAAAAAAAAAAAAAAAAAAAAAAAAAAAAAAAAAAAAAAAAAAAAAAAAAAAAAAAAAAAAAAAAAAAAAAAAAAAAAAAAAAAAAAAAAAAAAAAAAAGAAAAGAAAAGAAATTCACTTTCTTGTACGAAGATTGCTCTTTTCTTCTCCAAAATTGTGGGGGTTTTTCCCATAAAAATAAACTTGTCAGAGCCACTCCAAGGGATTTAGTTCAAGTGCCAAGTAAAAATGTATGGCTTCAGTCACCTGTTTTTCTTCTCTATATTGTTATCAGACAGACCAACAGAAACTGCTTGGAACACACTATTTGTCTAGCTCATTACATACTAATAGTTTGAAAATTTTTTTTAAAAAAGGGGGGGGGCCAGTGGCAGAAGTGTCACACACTCTCACTGGAGCAAACAGAGGTATTATTTTAACCATCATGGGAGAGAATCTCAGAGCAGTCAAGGAAGTCGTGCGGACTCACAAAGCCATTGCTGGCCGAGACGGCCAGCTGACTCCCGCCCGCCAGTCTCTGACACCACGCCACCCCTGCAGGACCTTCTGCTGAAAAACTCAGTGCCTCCAACTCATCCAGGAAGAGGTCATCTTCGCTGGTTCGCTCCGTCCCACAGCGTGACTAAGCCGTGACTCAGTGGCAGACCCCGAGCTCGGCACAGACATCACAGAAGTTAATCAGCCACCGTCTTCCCTCATCAGGTTTCAGGTCCAACCAGAACACTGTCGCTGAAGAGGACACAGCTTAACCTGCTATGCCTGAGACATGACCATCCTCTCGACGAGATTAAAAAGCGGAAACCACAGCCATGTCTTGGGCTCACCATTCTAAATATTCATGCAACTACTTATTGACAAAGAGACTCTGCGATTTATTTTGTGTCCTTAGAGCCTTGCTGCTAGGATCTTGGAATTAATTTTTCCCGACAACTACATCCCTGGGGCCGAACTCAGGCATGTGTATTAGCATACTGTCTGCTCCCCCTCCCCTGGCCTTGACTCATATTCTTTCTTTAATAATTTTATTAATTTACTTTTGGCTGAGTCGTCAGTGCTGCGTGGGCTTTTCTCTAGTTGCGATAGTGAGGGCTACTCTTCACTGCAGTGTGAGGGCTTTTCATTGCGGAGGTTTCTCTTGTTTCAGAGCACAGGCTCTAGATGCACAGGCTTCAGTAGTTGCGGCCCCCAGGCTCAGACCACAAGCGCAACAGTTGTGGTGCATGGACTTAGCTGCCTCAGGGCATGTGGCATCTTCCTGGACCAAGGATCGAACCTACGTCTCCTGCATCAGCAGGCGTATTCTTTACCGCTGAGCCACAGGGGAAGCCCCTTGACCATATTCCTCTGTGTACATTTTCCCTGTGCTGTGCTCAGTCGTGTCCGACTCTCTCGTGACCCCATGGACTGTAGCCCGCCAGGCTCCTCTGTTCGCGGGATTCTCCAGGCAAGAGTCCTGGAGTGGGCTGCCATTTCCTCCTCCTACTCCCGACCCAAGGATTGAACTCGTATCGTTGGCATATCTTGCACTGGCAGGTTGACTCCTTACCACTAGTGCCAGCTGGGAAGCCCCACGTTTACCCCGGCTCTGGGTGTATATATATAGTTTATTTCTTGTTCACCATGCCTGGTTTGTGTTTTGGTAATAAACTGCTGCAAATCTGGCAGAATGAAGCAAGGCAGACATGAGAACCTGCAATGCACGGAGCACTAGGAGGTGCTTTGGGTACATTGTGTTTGATTCTCACAAACCCCTGCCAGCCCATCATAAGTCTACTTATCTATAAGATGAGGCCCAGAGAAGTAAAGGAACATGTCCAAAGTCAAATAGCCTTTAGGTGATAGGATTCCAACACGAGCCTGTCCAACTCCAAAGCCCAGAATGTTATTACTATTAAATAATAAAAGGTAACAAGATCCATTTATGATCATCAAATGAAATTGATCCTCATTTAAGAGCATTTTAGTGTATTTTCCCACCAAGAGGAATACAAAGTGGGTACAGCGGACGTATTTAACATCCTACTGAAGTGCTAATAGTATACGTAACTGTGACAGAATTGCTGAATCAGGAAATGAAGGCTTGTGCCCGACCCGGACTAGGGATCTCAGAGATCTCCAAGGTTCCCTGGGGTTTTGCAGACTTGGTTCTATACCAGCAGAATTCATCTTACCTACATGGTTTCCTGTGCGAGTTTTCTTGAAAAAGAAAAAGGAAAGTCCTGCTGCTTTTCCTCCACTTTAAGCCTCCGCCCTAGCCCACTAGAACACAGACGCAACATCCCTGACAACTCACCAATCATCTTGAGCCTTCCGACTCTGTCCATGAGCAGGGCAGAAATGATGTTCCCCGGCAAGACAGACAGACTGCCAAGGAAGCTGACGAGGTAAGTCAGGAAGTCGTTGTCCTGCTCTAAGTCCATGTGGCAGCCCTCCTTCTGCTCCAGAAAGGTGACGTTGATAAAATGACAGTTGATGAACTTATGTTGATAAAGGTCTGCGGAGAGATGGAAACGTGGTTCATGTGAAACGGGGGAAGATTTGGGGCAGAGGCAGGGATTGGAGTTATGCCCCTTCCTTGGGCATAATAAAAGGTAACAAGATCCATTTATGATCATCGAATGAAGTTGATCCTCATTTAAGAGCATTTTAGTGTATTTTCCCACCAAGAGGAATACAAAGTGGGTACAGCGGACATATTTAACATCCTACTGAAGTGCTAATAGTATACGTAACTGTATAGTATACGTAACCCCTGGCAAACAAAGTCAAAGTAACACGTGGCGATGACAAACCTAAACAGCATATTTAAAAGCAGAGACATCACTTTGCAGACGAAGGTCTGTAGTCAAAGCTATGGTTTTTCCAGCAGTCATGTTTGGATGTGAGAGTTGGACCGTAAAAAAGGCTGAGAGCTGAAGAACTGATGTTTCCAAATTGTGATGCTGCAGAAGACTCTTGAGAGTCCCTTAGACAGCAAGGAAATAAAACCAGTTGATCCTAAAGGAAATCAATCCTGAATACTCATTGGAAGGACTGACACTGAAGCTGAAGCTCCAATAATTTGACCATCTGAGTGGAGAGCTGACTCACTGGAAAAGATCCTGATCCTGGGAAAGATTGAAGGCAGGAGGAGAAGGGGATGACAGAGGATGAGATGGTTGGATGGCATCACTGACTCAATGGACATGAATTTGAGCAAACTCTGGGAGATAGTGAAGGACAGGGAAGCCTGGCGTGCTGCAGTTCATGAGATCGCAGAGTCGAACATGACTTAGCAACTGAACAACAACAAAAATAACATGGGGCAAGGTACTGATGTAGCAAGAAATCTTTAAAAATGTAATAACTTGTTTAAGTTTCTCCAAGCAAGGGGAAATGAAATGAACATTCACTGAGGGACATGTGTAAGTAGAGCATCTTTCAAGTCAGTTAACAGCCTTGTTTGTATCAACAATATGACATTGAGGGCCACCTGCCTGGGGTACTCCTTCAAGGATTCCCAGTTTATAAGAGGCAAATGACCAGAGAATTGGGTCCAGATTGAGCCAGTCACTCCAAAACCCTTGCAGAAACCTGAGCATGCTTCAAAATAAACACCACTGGCTCAGTGGTTGTGGAGTTTAGGCAGTAAATAGATGACTTGGTAGAGAATGGTGGATTTTTAGGGCAGTAAAAATACTCTGCATGATGTTACAATGATGCATATTATCCATGTATCCAAGCCCACTGAATGGACAACACTGAGAATAAAGACCTTTCCCTCTGCCTATTGCTCTGGAAGTCTGTTCCTATCTCTAACTAAATTTTGAGACTTAGAAGCTTCACCAGAAAAGTGTGAGGAAAGAGGGAAAATGTGGAGTGTGGAAGTTTAAATTCTGATTTACTCTTTTGTGGCAGGTGCTTCATAAATAAATGCACTATTATGTATGTGGAATCTAGAAAAATGCTACAGATGAACCTATTCACAGGGCGGGAACAGAAACACAGATGTAGCGAATGGACCCTTGGACCGGGGGTGGGGGGAAGGGGAGGGTAGGACAAACTGGGAGGGTGGCACTGACATATACACACCGCCATGTGTGAACCAGGAGCGGTGGGAAGCCCTGTGTAGCATAGGACGCTCAGCTCAGGGCTCTGTGAGGACCTAGAGGGTGGGGTGGTGGGGGGGAGGCTCAGGAGAGAAGGGATGCATGTATACATAGAGCTGATTCACGTGGTTCTTCAGCAGAAACCAGCACAGCACTGTAAAGCAATTATCCTCCAATTAAAAATTTTAAAAATTAAAAAAAAAAAAGCCTTACCATGCAAAAAAAAAAGAATAAACCTTAACGTGAACTACATACTTCGGGTGATGATGTATAGGTTCATTCATTAAAACAAAGGAACCACCCTGATGGGGGATGTTAATAATGGCGGAGGCTATGGTGTGTGAAGAGGCAGCATATGGAAATTCCTGTATCTTTCTTCTAATTTTGTTGTAAACCCAAAACTTTTCTTCAAAAAAAAAAGTTTTAAAAAATAATAATAAGCATTTGCTTTGGAACCAGTTTCATGTTTGCTGGAACCTTCTAACATCAGCTGTTCTGGAAGAAAGATCACTATACAGGCTCTCAGCAAACCTGGGTTTGGGAACTGGCTCAGTGGCTGACCCTCTTTAACCTCCCTGAGCTTCTGCCTATAATGTTAGAGGAAAACACCTAATGATATCCACTGCTTCCCAGCTCTGATACTTCGAGACTACAAGTGTTTGCAAAATCCCAATCTCCCCAAGTGGCACAGTGGTAAAGAATCCACCAGCCAATATAGGTGATGCAGGAGACCTGGGTTCGACCCCTGAGTCATAAAGATGCCCTGGAGGAGGGCATGTATTCCTGTCTGGGAAATCCCATGGACAAGAGGAGCCTGGCGGACTACACTTGATGGGGTCGCAGAGAGTTGGACCCGATTGAGCTCTCACTCACCTACCACGTTAAGAGGGTGCATATCTATAGCATATTAAGTTTAAAAAAGCAAGTGTCACAACAATATGAGCTATATAATCAATTTACTTTTAAACAAACCTGTATGTCACCTATGTGAATAAACATAAAAAGTTTCCAAGGACACTGTTATACAGCAACTGCCTCTGGAAAAAGAGGAAACACTATCAGAAATCAGGTGCCAGATGGAAATAAAGTTTTATTTCAACTCTGTGTCCTTCCTAATGTTTGAATTTTTGCAATAATCATAAATAAGTTTTATAACTTTTTTATATGTTAGGAAGAGTAGTAAGGACAGACCCTACTAAATGAATTGATATGTTGTCCATGTCTATATACACATGTATAAGTGTGAACATACAGACTTGATTGCACCTGTGTATATATAATGTGGGCCAGTATATAGTGAATATATGCTCATGAATTATGTGTAGTGTGTATGAACATCTGTGTCATATTGTGGTATGTGAGAACATATAAATATATATAGTGCGTATGTGCATGCTAAGTTGCTTCAGTCTTATCCAACTCTTTGCCACTCTATGGACTATAGCCCTCCAGGTTCCTCTGTCCAAAGGGATTCTCCAGGAAAGAATACTGGAGTGGGTTGCCACACCCTCCTCCAGGGATCTTCCTGACCCAGAGATTGAACCTCTGGCTCTTATGTCTCCTGCATTGGCAGGAGGGTTTTTTACCACTAGCACCATCTGGGAAGCCCACATATATATATATAGTTCATACATACGAAGTATACAGACACACATAAAGTTACTTGGGCTTAAGTGTTACTAAATTCTATGAATATATATATATAGAATTATATACATATATATTCATAGAATTATATACATATATATATATAACCTTAATGAAATAGCAGGTTTTATCATGGAAACTCCTAAAATATTTTACATAAATAAAATGCACTTGCTGACATTGAAAAAAAGAGAAAGAGAGCAAGCAAAGAGGCATCACTGAAACTTCAAAGAAGAAAATAAAAGATACGCCAAAGACGAAATGTACAAAACTCACCAATATTTTTTTAAGTTCAGGCTAAAAATAAATTAGGAAGATAAGTTCCAAAATGGACTATTTAAAGACCAAAGGATATTTAGAGACGAGACATTGAATTGTTTGAGATTGGCATCATGAAGGGGGAAAAGATGTTCTTGCATTAAACTGTGCCACGGTACCAACGCCAGGGAGAAGCATTGATCCGGACACAATGCAAGTATTTCAGAGGAAGCCTCACAGACTTCACAGCTTAGCAATTACGGGATGGAGCCAAGCTTCCCCCACTTGTTATCTGTAACAATGTAAGTTACTTAATGTAAGTTGCTTAAACCTCTGTTTCCTTAGTTGTAAGATGCGGATGTTGGTACATCTCTTATTTGAGACAGTATCGGTGAAGCCCCTGGTAAAGCTCAGTTCCCTTGTAACCCAGCTCCACTTGGTATTAATTCATAATGAGAGCAGTAAAAATAATGAGGAGTGAGAGAGAGGTGGAATTTTGTGATTTTTTTTTTTAATCATGGAAATCTGAAATGGTGTAATTTTAAAATATTCTTATTTCATGCATGAAGCTTGAAAAGATGCAGTCTTTCCTTTTCATGTATTATCATGAGAATTTTATAAGTTTCAAATTATGCTAGGTCTTCAAGAATGCACTCCAGGCATAAAATGTAACCCTCTTGGAATGCTATTTTTTTTTAATCTGGGTCATAATTTGTTCCTACCAAAGACCCTGAGCATATAGCATCAGTCTTGTTGAGATCAGAACACTTACCCAGTGCTTCTATTTCTATTTTACACGTGATCAAACTGAGATACAGACAAAGTAAATGATTTGGCACGGCAACTTCTTTGTGCCCTGCCTGGGGCAAGAAGCCAAGACTCAGCACACACGTCAGCAAATACTTTACTGCTCGGAAAGCTTACGGCTGAGCAACTGGACAATTTCTAAACAGCAAGTCCACCCTGTTCATGCTCTTACCTGTGTTATAAAAGATGGTCGATTCAATGGTGCAGTTTTTGAAATAGGTATCAGTCGATGTAACATCCTCAAAATAGCACTCGTCAAATAACGTGTCCTCAAAGAGTACATGTTTAAAGTACATCTTTGTGAACCTATGGGGAAAAAATTAGCACCCAAATGATTCATCCAGGAAAAAAAAAGAGAGAGAGAGATACTTGAGAGTCAAACAGAAAACAGAAAGTCAGAAGAAGGAGAAGTGCAAACTAAAATGTTCTAAGACGTTATTTTCAACCCAAACTAGTTTCCCTTTCTTCACTGTGTGTTTATAAACAGAGAGGGCCCTCAGGTCCGTGGGACCTGACGTTTAGTCCAGGTACACACGGGGTTCTAGGCATCAATCTATGATTCCCAAATGCAGATTCATGGACCTTCTGCATCAGAATCATGGAAAGATGAAACAGCGTGACATGAAAATATTCATAACATCTCAGTTTAGGAGCTTTAAAGACAGGAATATCCCTTAGCTGGTCTTGGAAGGTTTGAAGGCAATAGATGTGTGAGGGCCTCAGAATTTTTTTTTTAAATTGAACCAACAAAAATGTGGAGGAATATAGGCACTGTCATCCACACTGTTGAACATAATTGGTGCAGGCTCTTTGAAGATCAGCTTTGCCGAATTTAAAATGTACTATCCCTTTGACCTAGGAATACCACCTCAGAAAGTTTATCATACACATACTTGCTCATGCATTCAAAGAGATACATTCACTGATCTTCACTGCAACATTGCTGATAGCAGCAATGCCTTACTAGAAAGACAGATGGATAGATAGATAGACGATAGATAGGGGACAGGTAAATGATAGGAGAGACAGATAATAGATGATAGAAAGGTAGATAGGTAATAGAGAGAATGGATAGACAGATAGGTACCACACATAGCCATCTACCTAATTACTATAATGGCTATAGGTGCTCCATTGCTCAGCTGCGTCCAACTCTTTGAGACCCCATGGACTGTAACCCCCAGGTGGCAGAGTGGTAAAGAAACCACCTGTCAATGCAGGAGATACACAAGATGCAGGTTCAATCCCAAGGTCAGGAAGATCCACTGGAGAAGGAAACGGGATCCCATTCCGGCATTCTTGCCTGAGGAATCCCATGGACAGAGGAGCCTGATGGGTTACAGTCCATGGGGTCGGAAAGAGTCAGACACGACTGAACAGCTGAGCGACTATAGCCATTATAATAATCAGGCAGATCTGTATGCCTTCATCTGGAGCCATGTTTAAGATATATTGTTAACTGAAAAAAAGAACGCAGTGACATTTGTAGCGTGTGACTTTCCTTCGTGTGAGAAAGGATAAGGCACATACCCCTTCGTGTGCGCGGCACACACCTGGAGTGATGGACACGCACAGGAGTGTGTGGCCCGGGGGAGGGGCGCTGGGGGCTGAAAGCGAGTGTCAGTCACTCAGCCGTATCCGGCTCTTTGTGACCCCATGGGATGTAGCCCACCAGGCCCAGACAATTTTTTTTATACCAAGTGTATATATTACTTTTTCACTTAAAACCGAAATAGCCAATAAGAGGTAAAAGCGCTGGATGACTATGAGGCACAGCCCACATCTGGAGCTGTTGCACATCTTTAACTCCGACATAAATTTAAAAGGAAAGAGCAGCAGGACATTTAAAAACATATACTCACATACATGGACATCAGCCTCTACTGGTTATATTTCCTAAGCTCGGTTAAAGTATTAAGTGAGAAACCTTTGTCTGTGTCTTCATTTGTGAGGAATTTCAACCCCATTCATTCGTCTGTCTATTCATTCATTGATTCAGTCTCAAGCAAAAGTTTTCCCGAGCGTGGCATTAGGTGCTATGCGTACAGACAGAAAAGACACGGTCCCTGACCTCAAGTCTAATGGGAAAAGAAACCAAGCCACCAGACAAATACAGTTCAGTGGGGATCCAGGGACAGAGGTAGCACAGGGCACTGAGGATCGCTATTGCTCTCAGGGCCGCCAGATCATTCACTCCATGAGCACAAATGATGGCCGGTGCCCCTTACTCTTCATTCTCAACTATGTTCTGCGGAGAACCCTAACCTAGAACCACATCTTATTAGCCTTGACAAAAAGACCTCTCACCCAATGGGAAGGCATGGGCCAGTGCTTCTCAAGGAGAAGTCCCCAGAACACTTGCATCAGAATAAAATAGGGTTGGACAAACTGCAAGAGTAGCATTGGCAAATATACACTACCCTGTGGGGGCTCAGACGGTAAAAAATCCGCCTGTAATGCAGGAGACCTGGGTTCGATCCCTGGGTCAGGAAGATACCCTGGAGAAGGAAATGGCAACCCACTCCAGGATTCTTGCCTGGAGAATCCCATGGACAGAGGAGCCTGGTGGGCTACAGTCCATGTGGCCGCAAAGAGTTGGACACGACTGAGCAACTAATGCTTTCACTTTTCATGTGTAAAGCAGATGGCTAGCAGGAAGCTGCCGTAAAGCCAGGAGCTCGGCTGATGCTCTGTGATGACATTTAGGGGTGGGATGTGGGGGGCAGGAGGGAGGCTCAAGAGGCAGGGGGTTTATGTATATATAAGGCTACACAGCAGAAACCACACAACATTGTAAAGCAATTATACTCCAGTTTTTAAAAATGAAAATAAACTGACATAATTTGGGTACAAAAAAAAAAGAATAAAATGAGAGGTTATTACAAAAGATAGGAGTTCTCTTCATTCCAACCTGCACCTCTTGAACTATAATCACCAGAGGAAGATGCCAGATTATTACACTTTAGAAAATGTGAGAGTCTCTGATCGAGAAAGTCAAATTGCTTTCAACAGATTCTCCTAGGGTTAAATTTAAATCGGCTTCCAAAAGCTACCGCTGGACTCTTCCTATTTCTATGGAAAACCTGATCACTAAGCCTTTTGTTACAGGAAGATGGCTCTGATGTCAAAATTAATGTAATTTGTATTCTGACTGTATTTACTCAGGAAAGCTATTCCTGGAGCCTGTCTCAGGTCTTTGCCCTTCTTAATATATCCTTCTCTTTAACACAGTAATGGGGTGGTGATGTGGCCTCTGGTGATATTTTAATGTTCTGCCAAAGGTGGGTGAGAAAGAAGGGCCGTAAATCATAGCAGGTCTGACACTGGCAGACCTTTAAATGTATCTCCAAGTGAGTTATAAAAAGCCAGAGTTATAAAGGGAGAGATAAAAGGAGAAAATGCCAAGGTATATTTTATGAGTCTTTTATATAAATCATATCCTCTGATCTCTAATTTATATACTGAACTGGTCCAAGATGCTTCACTCAGGAGGTCTCAAAGGCTGAAAGAAAAGTTGACAGAAGTATCTCATGAAACCCTTCCTTTAAGGAAACAGAAGCCATGGGTGATCCAGAGGCTGTGATGGAATTATTATTACAAACCCTTTATTTCAGTTACCCTCAAGCGCAGTGCTTCATCTGCCAGGTGATCTAAACTACGCCAAAAGTCACATCTACGCAGTCACCATGATTTAGACTTGAATGGGCTCACGCTCAAGAAACTCAAAACTAAAGAGGGAAACAAGAAAACTGATAGTTAAAATCTGGTGTGATAACAATTAAGATCAGACATACGTAGCATTTCCCTGGTGGTACAGTGAATAAGAGTCCGCCGGCCAACACAGAGGACACGGGTTCAATCCCTGGTCCGGGAAGATCCCACCTGCCGCGGAGCAACCGAGCCTTCAGGCTACTACTGAGCCCATGTGCCTGCAGCCTGTGCTCCACACAAGCGAGGCCGCCGCAGTCAGAAGTCCACGCACACCCTGAAGTGTAGCCCCCACTCAACGCAACTAGAGAAAGCAATGAAGACTCAGCACGACCAGATACAAATTGTTTTTAAAAAAAGATTAGACATAAGCTAACAAGATCACTGCAAACAGGCACTTATGATACGATCTGGTACAGCATGATACTGGCGTTTCCTTAAGGATAAATAAAACCTATCCAAACCAAGATGCAGAGCAAGTGAATTCCAGGCAAAGTGAATAGCATCTGCCAAGGCACAGAGGCAGGATATATAATATGTACCCTTTAACTGACTTTTTGTTAAGTGTAAAATTCTCTTTCACATCATTTATATCACCTTTCAGAGAGGAAATAAACAAAAGGGTCTATGTTCCCAAAGCTCACACACACAGACGGTCCTACACAAGCCTTCCACATGCAGTGAAATAAAAGAGAAACCTCTTCAGGAAAGAACTGAAATGCTAGTTTCTCACACATTATCTCATATCAGGTCCTAATCTGAGATGAAGCAACGCAGGAATGAGAAAACTATTCACTTCAGGGGACTTCCTTGGCAGGCTAAGACTTCGCCTTCCAAAGCAGGGGGTGTGGGTTCGATCCCTGGTCGGGGAGCTAAGATCTCACATGCCTCATGGCCAAAAAACCAAAACAAAACAGCAGCAATATTGCAACAAATTAATAAAGATGGTCCACATTCAAAAAAATCTTTAAGGAAAAAAAGAAAATCACTTCAGAAAATACATGCTTGGGCTCATTTTACTTAAAGAATGAAGGAAACAAACGGTCTTTTGTTTATAACTTCTATGCAACTTCTTAAATTCTCTGTATAACTCTATATAACTCCTTGAATTCTCCACACATGGGCATCAGGCTTTTACTTCACCTCTGACACCACCTTCCAGAAAATGAAGAATGGAGTTCAACTTTTAGGACTGTCATCAAAAGATTTCAGGCGAGTCTCTTCTCCTCTGCAGGCTTGCAGATTTTAAAAAATCTTTAAAATAACATTATTGAGGAGATGACTTTTTCCAGCTCTAGTATACGGTTGTATAAATGAGAAGTATCTTTACTGTAAGTAACCTGGGAAAGAAAGGATTAGTGTTAGGAGATGGCCATCAAATGGTCGAAATACTATTTCACGGAGAAGCAGACGTGTATGATGGGAAATACTGGTCTGTGTCTACCAGACTCTCTAAGGACACGGCCTTGTGCCTCCGGGAATTTGCCAGTAAATTCAACATGCTCTCTCCAACTTCTCTTACGCTTACCGCCACCTAAGTGCTGAAATCACCATATTGCATCCTGTCTCTCTTTACACAGATCCTAGAACATTTTTAA